ACTAAAAGATGAGTTTATCTTGCTTAAAAAAAAAGAAAAGAAAGAAAGAAAAAAACAGACAATCGTGAAATCATATGTATGAAGTAACTTTTAAGTGGTTTATAGAAAATACTTATGAAAAAATTCTGTCCATGGATTTGAAATTTTTTAAATAAACATCTATTGGTTTCATTTTTCCACAGACTTTTTGAAGTATGCTTATACATACAAATATGTTAAATATAAGAATGTTAACTATAAGAAATATAGAAAAGAACATTAGAGAGATACATACTGCTCTCAATTTTTGTAATGTTTAAATGTGCTCACAGATGGTATAAATATAAGTTGTTATAAGTCAAAAGCTAGCAGATTTCTACTGTGGGAATTCTACCAGACTGTAGAAAAGTGAAAAGCTTTAACAATGTGCACATTCTCATCAGTAACACGTTGGTCCTAAGAAGATTCTTACACTTTCTAGCAGAACTTATCCTTATTGTTCAGCTTTTATTAGGAAGTCCACAGTGAACTTAAAATCACACCTTTATGTAACACATAGATTTTGCAAGATATTTGATCAGTTATAAACACAAATTTCAAACTTAACCTTTGACTGAAGGTGATAGATGTTAATTTTGATTCATTCTCCAGAATGCTGTTTCTTCCCACATGGTGTTATGTGATGGACGGTTCTTCCTATTCTTTCATCATTTCTTCTGCAGTCACCTCAGATAAATCATATTATTTACACTTGATCTTTTTATGAAAATCAGAAAAATATTAATCAAGGTGTATTATACTTAGATTGATCTGTCACTTGTTTTTCAGGTTTATAGAAGTTTTTACTCTTTTTTTCAAGTCCTTCAGGACATATATCATGCAACTGTCAACCTCCTGAGTTATTTCTGTAAAACAAAAGATGCTCCATTTCACCCCAGACACATTCTGAAGAAAAATGGGCCAGTATGCAGGAATGTTTTTCCTGGCGATGACTTGTCAGATAAATGCCCATTCCACCCCTTTCCATTGTACTGCATGCATGTTGGGTTTCGGTGCCTGAAGTTTTGTATGGTTTGTAAACAAATGAGCTCAGACACTCAACCATCCAGTACATCCTTTCGATATTATTCAGGTCAGTTTGATCACAGCATATTATATCAGACTAGATATACTGCCTGGACCCTCCTTTAAACTCAATAAAAAATATCTTGAGATTCTGATATCTCTGATGAAACACTGCACTGGAAAGTTACTACAGATGGATAGTTTCAATAAGCAAATGGAAAGAGAGAGAGAGAGGATGAGAGAGATAAGAAACCCTAGAAATGGATAAATTTGGGAAAGAAAAGGGAAAAGCTAAAAAAAAAGACTACTCAATCCTGTTTAACAGTTTTCAAATTTAAATTGCTTTTATTGATGTTGCTTGTGTTGATGTAGGCAAGGTTTTTTTCTGGAGGGGGAGGGAAGGAGGATAAATCACAGCCTTTTGATGTTACAATGATGTAAGAGTGAAAAATAAAAAAAAAATCAAACTAAAAAATTGAGATCATTTAAAGATTTACAATCACTTGATGTCTTCTTTTCCTCCTTCCTCTTACGGTGTCTTTTTTTATTTCAAGATAAATTTTCTAGAGTGACCACTTTAATTTAAATTGGTGAAACGGGGCTTGACACCATAGTCTAGTGGCTAAAGTCCTCACTTTGCATTGGCCAGGATCTCATAAGTCTGCTGGTTATAATCGCAGCAGCAACACTTTCTATTGAGCTCTCTGCTTATGGCCTGGGAAAGCACTTGAGGATAGTCCAAAGCCTTGGGACCCTGAACCCGTGTGGGAGACTTGGAAGATCTCATGGCTCCTAGCTCCTGGCTTTGGATCAGCTCAGCTCCAATTGTTACAGCTACTTGGGGAGTGAATCATTGGACGGAAGATCTTCCTCTCTGTCTCTCCTCCTCTCTGTATACTGACTTTCCAAATAAAATTAAATAAATCTTTAAAAAAAAAGACAATATATGTGGTCTGTGTGGAATGGTGATTTTGCTCTTATAACATTAAAACTTATTGGGGAAATAAAAGAAGTTGGGCTTATAACCATAATAAATTAATAACTCACACATAAAAATGATAAGGAAGAGAAGGGAGATTGATAAGGGTCCTTTGGTCAGCAGATCAGGGGAAAGTTCTCAGACATTCTAGCTAAAACTAGATTTGAATAGTATTAGGATGTAGGTCTCATGACAGAGAATGAGTCTAAAATCTGGTAGTAGAGCACTTAAATTGTTATTTTCTCATTTGTTTCTGATTAATCATTCTTTGGGCAAACTCCTTAGTCATATTGGATTTCCTTTCATCATGTATCAGACCAAGATAATAATATTGTCTATACCAAACCATTGGTTGAATGTCCCAGGGGTAAACATTGTAGAAAATGACGGAAAGGAATGGTGGCAAGAGCGGATGCTGTCGTGGGGCATGTGAGTTGAAAGTTTCACTGAAATTAAAATGAGCAATTATAACCACAACTTCAGTTGAAGTCTGAAAATATCAGAAGCCACATAATCCAATTCTAGCTACTTTTGAAAAGGAGTCTGAATTTTGTTGTGTAAAACATTTTGACTCTCCCTCCAGAATTTGAATACATAAATATTCAAGACAAGGAAAAGCAGAAAAAGAAGATACAAAAAGTGCCCTTTTTATTGCAAGTCGTAATGTTAAAAATTAAGCAGAGAATGAACATAAATTTTTCATTTTCAGTAGTTCACTTTAACTACAATAAGGAGCTGTGAAAATATAAAGCAGAAGAATACAGAATTTTAAACCACACATTAGAATAGGTAGGAAATGGTCTAGACTACTGAGGAAGCAAAGGGGTAGGAGGAATTCAATCATTTGAAATGTGCATGCAATGCTCTATACTGGCTATAAACTATTAATATGACAAATATGATTTCTTTAAAGAAAGGTTTTCTATATTGCTAAAACACATTGGGTGGGTTGTACACTATGATATTTCATTTGAATTCTGAGGGATAAACAATTTTGAGGATTAACTGAAGCAATTGGAAAATTGTCTTACTCTTAAGTAAAAGTTCTTTGTTTTCTCATCCAGCTGTCTGGGCTTTTCAATTGTAGTTAAAAAGGACACAATGTTGGAGTTTTCCCATGGATCCCATTGAGAGCGTCTGGAATATTGAATGATGATCGCTTACAACATGTCTCCTGTTTTAATCTGTTTTTTGTTTGTAATCCCTCACTGACTCAAATTAGAAGTGACAGAAAGACCATAAGGAACCTGTGCAACCTTAAAAGCTATATAACTGATTGTTACTAAAGTATGATCATTTAAGAACTCTATTTCAGTGATGTTGCACTCAGATATTTTATTTAAGCACCACTGAAGTGGTCTCTGTGTGGCTGTGTAAAAACACCTTCATTATGCATGTCCTAATTTTTATCAATATATGATATGCTTATGCGGTTTCTAAGATATTCTCCATGACAATTCTGCTGGGTGCTCTCAAGCATCATCTTACCAGCAAGTGGTCTATTAGCACTAATTTGATGCTCCTAAGAGGATAAGTGGGAAGAAAAGCATGCTTTCTTGGAACAGTATGCAGATCATTTCCTTTGCCTACTTAATGTTTTCCCATGAAAAGCATAAAAGCATCTAGAATTGTGCATTAAAACTAACAGTGGGTTCACAAAAAGAAAGAGTTGATAGGAATCAGGCTATACGGAGTATATTCAGCAACAAATCAATGGCAAAGTAAGTTGTGGATGGGAAGAGCCTGGTGACAGGTATGGAATGAAGTCTGGAAAATGTTCCTCAACAAAAATTCCCAGATGATTAAAGCAATGGAATATACTTTATACAAGTTCTTTGGATTTTTTGGTGGTGGTTGTTATTGTTGGGAAGATTGTCTAGGCTGCTTGGCATCTTCATGCATTTCTAAATTATCTTTCTCTGATCTTAATTTTTTAAAACCCTTACTGAATTAACATCATTTTTTATGCTCTTGATGCTGTTTGATATTACTTGCTATGCTAGTTTGATATTCTTTACTGTGGATATTTTCCCACTCTATATTAAGCATAATTTGTTTGAACATCTAATTCCTTCATCTCCACTTTTTCACCTGGATGAATGAACCATATCTCCTTCTATGACCTCCAATATATAATTTTCCTCTTAAAAAGTGTGACTGAATGAAACACTGTGGTTTGTCCTCTCAATGGATTTTGATTTTTTCAAGAGCATTATATTTTTCTATTCATTTCTGTCTGCAATAGAGACCTAGAAAACAAGCTGGGAGTCTCTAACTTCCCATGAAAGGAGTCCAGACACAATTGCTACCCATATCATTCCATAAATGTGAACACTAAAGAGTAAAAAAGTTACAAAAATCCTTTGTTTTTCTATCACAAGAATATAACATACTTGGCATTATAGAACAATAAAGTATGGTAAAACAATATGCTTAAGTAATCAACACCATAATACACTATACTTAAGCAATTAAAAGCAGTGAAACAACATATTCTAAGAAATCCTTGTTTTTCTCTCTTTTTTCTTTCTCTTTCTTCCTAAAAAAATTCTATTAAGGTATTATAATTAAACAAAAAAGTTAATAATAATTATAATATATTAGCATACTTTTATATATTAAAATGTAATAATTGTGTAGTTATTATATATATTCATAGTAAGTATTGGTGATTGCCTTTTTCAAGTGTTTAGGGTTATTGCTGAATGCTCACTATGTATAAAGAAATAAGCAAAGTTCTTTGTATAAAATATATTTAAGTTGTATACTAACTTTATGAAGTGTATATCATCATCAACTCTTTATATGAAGAAACCGAAGGTTATAGTAAGAAGTAGTGGAAGAATCCAATGGAATAACCACATCTCTATATCTCATGTAATAAAATCATGCTAACCTAAAGTATCCTGGTATCTGAAATTTTATTCTTCTATGTTTTAGCTTAAATAATGTTTCTGAAGTGACTTTTTTTTTTATGGGGAGGTGCATAGTTCCTGGAGGTACTACCATACCAGGTCGATACAAGGGGTGGACAGAGTAGATCCTATTCCAACTACAGAATCCAAAAATCCATTTAATTTATTGCCCTTGGTAGAGGGCATATCCGATATTAAACTGATAAGAACAGATACTACACTTGATCTTAGCCAAAAGTACAAGAAGAGATCTGAAGTGATTGTTGACATACAAAGCTGTCACTGTGAGCTGCTCTTGGAGGACTTGGTGCCCTTCAGAATGTGATGCTCTCAGCAGAGAGCGCAGAGCTTTCATCTTTCCCAGTGTTGCACAGAACACCCAGACCATAGTTAATGCCTTTCTAGAGTATATCCTTTGACGTACTATTCTGAAGGCTGTCCAATGCCTGATGTTGCTAACGTGAGAAAGACCTGGCCCACCTGGCACAATTCAATGTCATTCTGAAAGCCTTTTCCAGTTCTTGCATTTTGGGCAAAGATGCAATCCTCATCAGGTCTCATGCCCTTCTGCTTCATCTTTCTCCTACCTCTAGGTTGGATCCCAAATATCCCTAATCCTCATTCAACATGATCAACTTCTTTATAGAATCAGCCTCCAGAGGAACCCAGCACACCACAATGGAGAAAGAGGCAAACACTGGGCAAGCTAGCAACTTGCCGGCAGAAAGACAGATAAAGACACATACACTGAAGGAAGCAACATTGTATAGAATGTGCAAAGTCAGATTATAAAAACACAGACTCCCCTACTTCCCTGTTTGCTTCTATGAACAATATTGTTCATAATGTCTGAAAATGCCATTTACACTATTAATTCAGTAGTTTGTTCTTTCTTATTTAAATTCATTTGATTAGCGCATGTTCATTTGTTACTCTCACTTTTCAACTTCTAAGTGTGGTCTGCTAGGAAATTTTATTCCCCAGCAAGCCCAGTACATTCTTAATAGTCACATGGAGTCCTCCATTCAAAACAAAATGGATGTATTAGAAAGGTCTAGCGATGGAGAACTGTTACTGGACCCAGTGACGTTCAGGAGCCAGTGTCTCCAACAGTGTCTCCACTATGGATATCAAGGACCTGATTACTTTAATATCTACATTGGAAGACATCTGGATAGGAAACAAAATAGACTCGGATCTAAGCATTCTGATAATGAATGGCATGTGGGAGTGTAAGGAGTGGCTTACCCAATATGCTACCATGCCTATTCTTGCTGTCTTCTTTTTTCATTGTAATAACATTACTTCTCACACTGAACAATCTCCATTGGGATGACAATTAGTGCTCATACAGCTGTTTTCCTACTTCTGTACAAATTTCTTACCTACAATTCTAAGTGAATTACTTCAATTGGATTAAAAGTGTGTTTAAGCAGGACAGATTTTAAAGAATAAAAAAGTAGGGGCCCGGTGGCGTGGTCTAATAGCTAAAGTCCTCTCATTGAACGCCCCAGGATCCCATATGGGCACCGGTCCTAATCCCGGCAGCTCTACTTCCCATCCAGCTCCCTGTTTGTGACCTGGGAAAGCAGTCGAAGACGGCCCAAAGCCTTGGGACTCTGCACCCGTGTATGAAACCTGGAAGAAGTTCCTGGATCCTGTTTTTGGATCTGCATAGCATCGGCCGTTATGCTCACTTGGGGAGTGAATCATCAGATTGAAGATCTTTCTCACTGTCTCTCCTCCTCTCTGTGTAACTGACTTTCCAATGGAAAAAAAAAAAACTTTAAAAAAGGAATAAAAAGCAAATTAAACATTTATCAAAGATCTTGAAACTTGATAACAGTTTGCAAAGGAAAGCTGATGAGAAAATGAATGCTTTCAAGGAATGCCTCCAGACAGCAAAGTGGTAAGATTTCTGCTGAGGGAAGTGGGCTGGAATTTCTAAAATTAAAAATGCATATGTTTTGGCTCAATAGTTTCTTTTCTGTACTTCTTAACACAGATACATATGCTCAGCTGTGAAAAGATATTTGTACAAAATTATTCATTGCAGCCACAGCTTGTTATTAATAAGGAACTAATTAAATAAACCTACTCCATCCATGGTAACTACCACCATAGAAGCACAGAATCATAAGCAAGAGTGTTCTTAAGATCTTCAGAACACATTGCAAGATTTCCAAAAAAGTAAGCCATAGGATAGCACGATTAAAATCTTCCATTTCTATAAAAACAAAGACTTATATTTAAGTATTATAAACATTAGAGAATCCTTACCCACATCAAATAGGCAACTCATAAAATTCATGGTTTATGGGAGCAGAAGAGGTAATTCTGACTGGGGAAGATATATTTTTTATGATGCTTCTTCATGTAGTTTTTGAAGTTTAACAATGCACTTTTAGTACCCATTCAAAACTTTTGTTTCTGCTTTAGGTTTTTTGTTTGTTTGTTAAATTTTTAAAAAGCCAATTTTCTGAGACTGCTCGTGTGGTACAGCTGGTTAAAGCCCACACTAGCATCACATGTCTATCCCAGTTCAAGTTCTTAGTGCTGCATGTCTAATCCATCTCCCGGTTACTGCGGCTAGGGAGGCAGCTACCCCTATTACCCATTTGGGAGAACCAGATGGAGTTTTTGGCACCTGGATTCCATTGGCCATGCCTAATTGTTGTAATTATCCAGGGAGTAAAACAGTGGGTGGAAGATTTGCTCTCTCTTTCTCTCTCTTTCTTTGCCTTTCTTTTTTTTTCTTTTTTTTTTTTTTTGAAAAATTTATTTTTATTGAAAAGTCAGATTCATATGAAGAAGCAGAGAAAAATCTTCCCTCTTCTGGTTCACTCCCCAAGTGGCTGTAATGGCCAGAGCTGAGCTGAATGTAAGTCAGAAACTGAGATTCTTCTGAGTCTTCCTCACAGATGCTGGTCTCAAGGTTTTTGGCCATCCTCTGCTGTTTTCACAGGCCAAAAGCAGGGAGCTGGATGGGAAGTGGAACAGCTGGGACAAGAACTGACATCCATACAGAATCCCAATGAATGCAAGGAGAGGATTTAGCCGCTGGGCTATTGTGCCAGACCCTAAATGCCTTTCAACTAACACACATACACACACACATTATATATATATACATATATATATGTATATATGTGTATATATATAAAAGAAGTCCTAAATATATTGCAAAAACTTGCGAGATTAGAATAAATGTTTACCTCTGCAACAGCATTCCAAAATTATTGAAAGAAATGCAAAGAAAAGAAAAAAGAAAATACAAGTTAATTCAAGTTCCATTTTCTCTCACTGGTGGTATATAGTGCTGCAATTTTTCTGAATGTTTTCCTGTAATTAATTATGCATGAATATTGATAATTGTATCACCTTAAATATTGCTCATGGTGCCATCAAAAGAAATCTCTGTATATTCTCCTAACAATTTATGAGGAAAAAATCTGTACATTACTATCATTAAAAAAGAAGAAATTGCTTTTAGCAAGCTCTGCACACTATATTTCTGTTTCCCCTTGTCTTGTATAAAGTTTAAAGTCCTGTATAATTAACTTGTTATATTTGTCATACTAATTAGCATCCATTCTCCTTGCTTCATATTATAAAATTCAAATGATATGCCAGGGAACTTATAAATCTTCATAGAAATGGAATGAAAATGGTTTCGATTAACTTGTTAAATTTTCTCATATAACATACTCCCATGCTGTGTTTAATCACTTTCTCCAAAGAAAATCTAAGAAATTTGATTGTCAACATTTAAAAATGTTTTACATTTTATTTATTTACTTTTATTTTATTTGAAAAGCAGAGCCAAACGTATAAGAGATTTTCCACTTACTGTTTTAGTCTCCAAATGTAACCAACTGAAAGCTAGCAGGCCAGAGCTCAATCTGGGTGTCTCACATGGTGGCAGAGACCTGCCCATGGAGGTAATTTGGAGAATTAACCACAAATCATTCTCTGGGTGTGTGTGCGTGTGTCTCCCTTTCTCTCTCTCTCTCCCTCCCCTTTTTTCTCTGTCTCACAAATAGATAAATAAATCTTCAAATCTTTGCTTAGAAAAATGCACATCTCTATTCCCACATAAAAAGAAGACACTGAATCAACTGTTAGAGTCAGCTTGACAAAGGGTACCAGATTTTCTACCATTAGCTACACCTGCAGTGTCTTGATACGCTTAAAAAGCAGATTGCTGGACTGTGACTGTTGCTGAAGGACTACACTATTTTATAATCTAGGGGTGGATCTTGGGTTTGGGGGAATAAGAATGAGGAAGGGGTAGAGAAGGGAATAACTATACCTATAAAACTATATCATGGAACATAATATAAACTTAAAAAAAATCAAACTAAGAAAAAGATATTAAAGTGTCAAAAAATCACAGTAATTATTTGTATGTCCACGTTTCTATATCATTTTTTCTTCTGAAAAAAGAAACAGGAAAGAAGAGAGGAAGAGGAGGAAAGAGTGAGATTCCAGTGCTGTATAAAACATAGGTGGTACTTGGAGTGTTCATGAAGATTTATGTTTCTGGTTCAACACTAAATCATAAATCACCATGTGAAGCTAAATTTTTATGCTAAATATTTGTGTATGTGACAATGTAAAAATTAAAATAGTAAAACATTATGGCATTATAACAATAGTGACAATATTAGCATCCCTAAAAGTATTCATCCAATTTGGATTCTGAGGAGTGATCTTTCTCTATTGGAATACACAGCTACCCAAAGATCATTATTTATTTTCTATGGTTCCTCTTGGCAACTAGAACATGGGCTTGTTAAATATTTCTACCCATGATTTCAAAATGGGAATGAGAGACAGTGGAGAATGTATTCTTTTACCAGTGGTTTCAGCAGTTTCATCTAGGCTACACCAAAAGCCTTGTTGGTGTTGCCAAGATAAGGTGTTAGTAATTACAAGAATTTCACCAGTGAACATTTGTGGTGTTTGTTCATGGTTTTCTTGCATTCTTTACTATTTGAGTACTAGTTGGTTTCCTAGCTGAATTACGGATATTCCTACACAGAAATTCCATTCTGAATAATTAATAGGTATTGGTTTTTAATGGTTACAAAGAAGAATTGTAATTCATAAAATGAATATCTGATTGGGGGAAAAGGAATTGTGGTTTGGTGTAAAGTACTCAGGACTATAAAAATAACACAAAAATAAATCCTGAGTTTTCAGTATTCACAATAGATGTTAGGTAAATATTGGCTAAATGAGTCAGCAC